TAAACCATGGAACACGTTCGACACTCTGCATAGTTGCGCAATCACACACCAACTGTGACACATAGTGACACCGTGATATTCACACTAGCAAGGTGACACACAATGTGCAGTCAACAACACAGCCACACACAAACTATGATACACAGTGACACAAAGAGAGGAAAAAACACGCATACAACAAGGGAGAATGGCATCAGTGTTCATATGAGGTCAGCGAAAATGTATTGACATCATGGAAACTGGGATCGAAGTGAACCTGTTGCGTGAGCACAGTCGTAGGTAGAATTGTGGAATAGAGTAGGCTGAGGCATTGGGCGCCGGACAGTGAAATAACCTTGGCTACTTAGTTGGTATAGGCCTGAGGGCTTGAGCATTGGCTCATTACTCCATTCTATTGTTTTGTTTGGTTAGATGTTCAGAACTATGATACTTGCTGCTTGTATACAATTACTCAGACATCTGTGAGATCTCACAACTTGGGTTTGGATATCAATCACGCTCATATTCCTTGTTATTATCATTATTCGTATTCGTATTAGTATTAGTATTAGTATTAGTATTGTCATTTGACAACACACGTGAGGTTGGGAGTTAGAGATGGGAAAACGGCGAGGCAGCAGAGAGAGGGGGATCGTCGTCAAGCATGACGACTTCTATCTCCTTCATTCTCCTCCGCCTTTTCCTATGTCTGATCCCTCGCTCACCAATCATTTTCAAGCGACGAAATGTGAGATGGTGTTCAATCAAATCTCAAGCATAAGAGACTCCTATTCCGTATTTGATCAATCTAGACGGATCCACGTAACAGGGCGATTGCGGGAGCTCTGCCGGAGTTCAGGCGGAACTCTGGAGGCAAGGGATCATGAGGTACGCGTGCGGTTTAACCTAAACCCTAAGCCCTAAACCCTTATCCTATACCCTAAGAGGAATACCTATGACAATATTAATAGAGAGAGTACTTTGAGTCAAAGGTCCTTCAGGGCTAAACCCGAAGACAAAAAGGAAGACAATAATGCTTGAGTAAAGGAAGAAAGGCATGATGTGACTGGGTGTGTCGAGTTGTTGTTGGTAAACGTAGCGAGAACGAGAAGTGTCGAGTCACTGTCTCGCCACGTGAATGTTTCTTTTAGGGGATGTGGTGGTCAGGGGGATTGACTTCTGGTGGTCTTCCCTTGCTTATAGGTCACCTGACCATGAGATAAGAGAGGTGGATCATAAGTGTATTGTTGAACTTATGAATGATATGATCCGACATTGAGATGATGAATTGCCTCAACAAACCTTTAGCCTATGACTTTTGGCCATAGATTCGGCTTCCCATTGGTCCACTTGGCTAGCAAGTTGGCAATGGTTTTATGACCCCTTTCAACTGGCGCATTCGCCTTAAAATGGGCCCGAGTCATGTAGTTACTTATCACTCTCAGTTCTTTCAACAACTCCTTCACTTCCCCACACGTAAACACAGACCCCCTGTCTATCGTAAACTCCAACACGAACGGATACCTGAGATAGTACTCCTTAATGCATTCTGCCAGTGTTGCCCCAGTCTTGATACCTGAGATAGTACTCATTAATGCATTCTGCCAGTGTTGCCCCAGTCTTGTTTCTAATTGCTCTGCCATCAACAAACCCGGTAAGATTGTCCCTCGCGTCAAATATGTATATACCCGCCGAGACCCAGTGACATGGCCAATAGGTCCAAGTGGACTACTGCCCCTACTTCTTTGATGTACCTAGGATGCAAAGGTTCTTTGTACTTGATAGGCGATCGTACTTGACAGGGTACACATGACTCACAATATTTACGAGTCATTTCAAACATCCCTTCCCAGTAATAGAGTTTCATCGCCTTTTTGTAAGTCGCCGCAAAACTTCAATGTCCCCCAACTATCCCGTCATGCAATGCGGCCACGACATCAATCTGACGATTCTTCCTACATATAATTCGTCGTGGTGACCCCCTCTCGTCTCTGATGAACAAATGACCACCTCTTACTACGTAATGATCCCTCATCCGGAGAGTCTTCTCACTAACTTTTCTCTCTCTTTTATCTCCCAAACGAAGTAATCTCATATCCAAGTAGAATCCATCATACTCTTCTTTTCAGAATTCTTATGAAATCTCTCCTTGCTCAAATTTCTCTCCTTTTTCTTCATCAAACTCGTAATCATCGCCGATTACTATTTCGTCTGCCTTCACCACTCTCTCCTCATCATTAGACTGGACTTGTAGGAGGGAATTCGTCAAGTAGTACATTCTCCCCATCATGGTTATTTGTTCGTCTGCTTGTTGAGTTTCAGCCTCGATCGTCCGTGGTTCATCCACCATTCTATAGTTCTCAGCCAAGGCCAATTTCATCATCCACTCCCCATTCCTTTCTCCCCACGAGTCTTCCTCTACTACTGGCGTGAGTATTAAGGTAGGCTCCCTCATAAACTCAGGAGGCAGATGCCACATCGGATTTCCTCTCCTCATTGCCTTACTTTCAACGAACATAAACCAACAGTTGACGTGAGTGCTCATGTCTTCCCCTTCCTCCAAAAACCCATCTACCGGAGGTGCTTCCTCTCCAGAACCTGCTTGATCTCCCCATTCAATTCTACTCATGCCATCGGCCCTATTTCTATTTCCTGGGATACGTTCCAGCTGAAAATCGAACATCCAGATATAGGTAAGCCATCTGGCTATGGTCGGGTCTGAAGGCGAAAAATTCTTGAGCGAATACACAAGCGTTGTTGGGTCAATTCTGAGGATAAACCTCCTCCGAAAGAGGTGGTGCCTAAAGATTCTTAGGCAATGCAGGACTGCCAAGGCTTCCTTTTTGAACTGCGAGTAATTCCGCTCCGTCGAATTGAGTGTCCGAATTTCGAACCTTAGTGGTCTTTCCTTTCCGCTACTGTCTGTCTGGATCAATACACCTCCCAAGGCAGTCGGCCCAGTGTCAGCTTCAACTATGAAAGACCGCTCCATGATTGCATCAAAATCTGGCACCCCCAATACTAAACCCCCTTCTTTGAATTCCCTTTTCAATTCCTCTACCACTTCTTCTTGGAGGTCGCCTCATTCCCAATCCTGATCCTTCCTTACTAGCTTCCTCAGATCCTCTGTCTTAGTGGCAAATCTTTCTATGAACCTTCTTCAGAATCCACACATTCCAAGGAAGCTACGGACTTCTCCGACATTCCTGAAGGGAATAGGCGATTCCAGGATTTTGTTAGTTTTTTTATCATCAGGCCGTCGACTGTATTCGTTGCATACGTACCCCAGAATGGTTACTTCCTTCACACAATGTCTTGATTTCATGCCACTGACAGTGAGGTTGTACTCCTCTAAGAGAGAAAACTTCTTTCAACCCTTGGATGTGCTCCCATACGAATCTTCTTATCCCAGGAACTACTTCTGATTCATCCTTCTCAATAGGTCCCTTGACGGCAAGATCATCAATGTATGGCTCGGTAATCTGAGGACTGATTGGTTGCATTACTCGGATCATGCTGCATTGCACCATGACCACATCGTTGGTCCATCCTTGGGGTGCAACATTCATATGGACCAATCCTCTAGGCGTGTGCACTGCTATTATAGGACGATCTGCAGGATAGACCGAAAATTGATCATACCTAGAGTAGAGATCAATTAAGGACACAATCGATCTCCCTGCGCAGGATTCTGACAATTGATCAGCGTAAGGCAGTCTCTCAGCATCTCTTACTGTCACCTCATTCAACCGTTGGAGGTCTTGTACCTATCTGAGCACCCCATTCAGTTTTACAAAGCAAAACCAAGGAGAAGCATATGGTCCGCTAGAATACTCAGCAGTATTCGTGTTACTTGGAGTATCACGGAGTCCTACACTAAGTACACGGAGTATCCGAATTACTTGGACCTACGGTACCACGACTGGCTTTTTCGACTCAACAGGTAACGGTAGTATGACGAAGACAAAGGCCCCAATTGGCGGACTATGTCAAGGTTGGGCGTCAGAATAAGCATTACAAGTATCTGCCTCGCTATCTGGCTCAAATTCGGTACCATAATCCCGGTTCGCATCGGACGACCTACGGTTACTCACGGACGTACCTTCTGGAGACCCACTACGACGAAAGACCCTTATAACCTGTCGGACAACCAGCGGCAGAAGAAGTGTGCTTCTTCGCAAGCATCTGAACTGTAATTTCGATAGTATTCTTTGCATTTTCAGCATTAAACTTCCGTATTATTATTTCTTCTTCTTTTTTTCCTTTTCTTTCTTTTTCTATGAAATCTCGTACTCGACCAAGAGTCGAGCACGTAGAAACTAGAATATTTAAGTAGATGATAGCACAGTAGGACTCCTCAATCTGAGTGGTGTATTGAGTGGAAGGATTGAGTTTCCGTAACCTTTGGTTATGGAACAGCGGAGGGGAANAGATGATAGCACAGTAGGACTCCTCAATCTGAGTGGTGTATTGAGTGGAAGGATTGAGTTTCCGTAACCTTTGGTTATGGAACAGCGGAGGGGAATGTGTTATACGCCATGATATTAAAGCTCAAGGCATCTACTTCTAAATTCTGGGTCCATTGTGTTTAATCTTTTCTCATGGACATGAGCCTCAGCATCGACCTTGTCGTGGCTTGGGAACGATGTTGAGGTGCCGTCTTCATTGAGCATCTCTTCTTCGAGTATACTCTATGGAGTCGCGCTTCATTTCTGTTGCTTGAACTATTTATTGAATTAATTATATTTCTGTCTTTCCGTTTATTCGGATGCTGCGTGGGAATGCTGATGGGCCTTCGCTTGCTACGAGATAATGGGTTTATTGGGATTTTCTATTTGATTTTCTATTGATTTTTTTATTTTTCTAAGACGATGGTTTTTTAAATCGTCCTCATAGTGTCGTGAAGCAGCGCTAGCATCTGTGTTGTGATGCGTCCCCTCGATCTGTGACACACATGGCAAGGGGCGAATGGTGGTGAAGGCTATCGTCTGTGTCGAATCGACTAGTTGGTTCGAGCATCAGCGCGTCACAGAATTCACCATCTGCGTCGAAGTCAGTTGGTGTGTTATCTCCTTCGTTGCGGGGCGCATGTACTCGCGGAATCGAAGCGGAAAGGTCGGTAGTCGGCATGGTAAGTGGTCCAATTGCGGTCTGTATTGGATGGAAGGGACAAGTGGGAACCAGTACGTACAACATGCCGGACCGAGCGTGCCTTATCCTGTTGCTGCAGGGCCGGCCGCGCACCTTGCGCCGCCAGGAGTGTCTCCTTTATACTATGGCAGTGGGCAGGTGCACGCGCCTCTAAGCACTCACGTGCAATCAGCCCCAGCTCCGGCTCCGTCGGCAACTCCGACTCCTATGCAGTACCAACCAGTACTCAATCAGTGGAGCGCACAACCCTGGGGTCTACCCCACTGGGGTCCACCCCAGCAGCAGCCTGCTCCAGTTCCTTGGGTAAGCAACGCACCATGGATGGCAAGTGTCCCATTCCCTCAGGTGCCTATAGCGGTACAACCTGTTCAACAGCCTGCTCAGGTGGCGATTCAGCCGCAACAGCCTCTTGCTCAATCGAATCCACATGGCTTTTATGGTGGACAGGGTGGTAGCTCGACATCAAGCGGAGGGGGCAAAGGACATGCCGCGAATAATTTTCCCGGACCGGGAAATCGCGCGTACTTCGCCAAGGAGTATATGGAGATACTGGAGAGCATCAAGTCCAACAAAGCAATTGATGAAGCCAGGAAGAAACTTGTCGGCCCAAGAACTGGGGCTGTCAAGAGGAGTGGCACGCGGAGCTTTGAGCATCCCGATGAAAGCAGTAAAGATGGTGCGCGTTCCGAAAAGAGCGAGGATATGAAAGCGTGGGTTACCTCCACGCTGGGCGAGTCCTTGAAACTCATCAATGCGAAATTAGACGATGTTGACAAGAAGTCCAAGCTGGATGCCACTGAGCGTGAGGAGCTGGAGCGCCTCCGACGAGAAGTGCAAGGCGGTAATAAGGAACAGTCGAGCAATGAGAAGCGCAAGAGAAGTGGAGTCCGCACTCCGATGGAGAACTCCCCGTCTGCTGCACGCGCCAGACAGAGGTCAAAGGGCAGTTCGAAAACCAAGCCAAAACGCATCGAGTTGTCTGATGATGAAGGTCCTTCAGGCACTAAGCAAAACTTGCAGACCAAGCTCGAAAGCATAAGCAGCGAACTGTCGGACATTAAGCGGATGCTCGAGGCACTTATGTGCGGCTTGCCTGATCCGAAAGGAAAGGCGAAAGTAGTCCTGCGAGAAGAGAAGGAACAGTTGGAGGAAGAGGTTCCCGAAGAAGTGAATGTAGCACAGAACGCTCACGACAACGGTGAGGAGGAAGATCCTGACGATGACGGATTTGCAGCGTATATGAAGGTGCGCGCAGACTTCTACGGATCCCTACACTACACCCGAGTACAGGAGTTGTGCAGAGAACACGATATCGAGTACTTCAAGAAGGATGTTGCAGTCTGGGAACTCACGAGACAAGACTTGCAAGAGTATGCCGACTCACTCAGGGAGGAACGGGGAACTCGGAAGAAGGATATTACCGAGGAAGCCTACCGTGATGATGGTGGCGAAGATCAAGACAGAGTGAAGAGAAACTAATCCTTGGTAGCATCAGGTCGATTCGTCATGCTGTCGCTCGAATTATCAGTGCAAAAAGGATTTTCGATCACACGCTATCTAATTTGTTGGAACACACTCATGTGCTTTTGACTATCTTAGCGTGTTTAGAAGGTTATGTGTGGTGGGGACGTGCTTATGTTCACTTTTGGCTCCGCCTCAACCGCGAGGAATGGAGTAGACTGATTGACGCACACTGTTGCGTTTACGTACTACTGTCGGTAAACCATAAACTTGTGTATGTTGGCAAAACGGCTAGATCTCTTCAAGAACGCTGGTCTGAACACCGTCGCGCCGTACGTGGGAATAGCAAACAGAAGGTTCACTCGTGGTTTCGAAAAATTGGTATCGATTCGTACGTTCCCATTCCTATTTGGTTTGGAAACGATTCTAAAATTGAATGCATGGAACAAAATATTATCAAGAGTTTGAACCCAGGGTTAAACTCAGGAGGAATTGCGAAACGTCGGAAGGCACGTAGGTCCCGTGGGAATCGTAAGCCTAAGGTCCTACCCGCAGTAGATGTACTGGAACCACTTCTGTTCTCATGTTCGTGCGTTAATGTGGAAAAAGAACCAGACTTGCTCCGCTTGTTAAAAATCTTGTTTAAAAATAAGATAAAAGTCGTAAATATAATGAACAACACAGGTGGAAGGTGGATGCGGGCATGGCGCTTGGTATCTTTATTGTTTGGGCACATTAAGGTAAGAATTGAACATACTAACTTCCTGCTTAAAGATGCTAAGTATGCAATTGAACAAGGTGGCCCTTGGTCAATCACTCTACTTGTCCGTTCCCAAACGAAAATCGACATGATGAAATCTGAAGTCATTTCTCTCCTTTGTGCCCCTTGGAAAAGGAAGGAACTTGTCAAACACAGCCTCAATAAACTCTTGGAACTAGATGCTGTTGTGAGAAACATAAACCAACCACGAGGGAGACAAATCGTTCGAGGCATTTTAATAAACGTATGTCAAAAGAAGTTTGGTGTGAACCCCCGAACCAGGATTGTGGCAAAAATTCCTTTTTGTACGACTGTCGACAAGAAGAAAGTTGAATGTTGCTTGAAGGACTGGATCAAGGATAATGTTGTGCCTACTCCGCTAGCTGACTTGTATGCGAAAAAAAATCGTGCTGTTTGGTTGAAAGTCAAATCAGTTGGGGATATATTGCATAACCAAAAACTTTTCACACAGCAGAGCACTTTTGAGTGTGTGTGTGAAAACTTCGATTTGCCCAAAATTAACGGGCATGTCGCAGTCAAGATTAGCGAAGTTAGTGGCATGGACCCATTCCTTTTTAACGCAAAAAATGCCCCTTTCCCTGGGACAATGGCATCACAAGACAGCCTGAATCGAGCCTGTAATGAGGCACTGGATGGAATACGAAAAAGTGGGTTGATTTCTGGCCAAATTCGAATTCCTTTCAGATCTGTTACCAAGAAAGGTGAGACTAAGCCCGCTGGATGTATCTTGAGTGAATATGTCCTTGGAATAAAGCAAGCGTTCGCCGGGCTGGTGTTGGGCCCACTGGACCGCAATGCCAGCGAAACATGGGTTGAGTGCCCTAAACGGTACCAAAAGGGACTAGATACTATGTTTCTACATAACGAGAACTATGAACGTGTCAATTTTGGGAAAAGTGAAATCTTGCAAGAAATTCGCACTTAATATAATGAAATGAACCTGGGACGTATCGTGAGATGGGATGGGCAGGGAGAACTGCAGTATGCCTATATTATGGCTAAGGAAAAGGACAAAGGAAAAAAAAGACCCATCGTGCCTTCGTTTCATAGTCCGTTTCATGCTGCTTCTGGTGTTTTGTCTCTTGCCCTGAACTCACTTATTCGTAAGGTTAAGGTACCTCATTTTAATCTTAGGACATTGGGCGACCTGCGACATACGATTGAGGCCGCCAATAAGAAAGTTGGCCCTATGTCTAATCATGGGGTGATCGCACGAACCTACAAGATAAAGGAAATGTTTACCCAACTCCCTCACGAGATTATTTATCAGGCGGTCCAGTGGATTATTGAGTGGTTTGTTCAAAATGGCGTGCGATGGATCCGACTGAATACCCGTAAGAAGTTGACAACATTCGGGAAATCTCACGGAGAAGCCGGTTGGAAATCCTTCCGGCTTACTGATCTGATCTCCCTAACCAAGTTTCAACTGAAACACACCTTTTTTAGTATCCGATGCAATCCTACGCCAGAGGAAAGACATTCCAATGGGAGGGAGAGAGAGTCCCTCACTTGCATGTGTGATGTGCATGTTTGTTGAGTATAATTTCATCATATCTCTTGGCGCTGACGCAAAACTTATCACTGGGAAAAGATATATAAATGATCTATTACTCTTTTCTTTTTTTGATAAAAATGACACAACAGGCTACAACAGGGCTAATGACCGCCTGGATAAGATAAAATTGTGTTATCCCAAGGAACTCAGTTTGGAACGAACTGACTCTGGAATTGGACTACTCAATTTCTTGGAAACAAGGTTAATCGTCTCCGAATTCGAAAAAACAGTGGTTGTCGCTCAAAAATTCAAGAACCGTGAATCAATATGGGGACCCGGGAACCTTCACTTCCAGATGTACAAGAACCACGCCGCGCACTGCAGACTTCCTTTGGGCAAAGAACGGCCAAATTTGCAACCATAGCAAATACTATTCTTCGTATCTCTGAAAATTGTAATAACAGAGGCACTATGTGCCTTGGTGTCCTCACATTGACAGTCGAACTTGGGAAACTTGGGTATGCTAGCAACATCATCTTAGCAGGGCTCAGATGGATGCAACGGCGAGAGTGTATTAACCCTTTCAGGAGCCAGATCCAGGAGATCGTCAAAAAATTGGTTTCTGATACAAACCCGTGACGCAGGCTCCGCGGAGGGCTGTTGCTCAGCATGATGCTTTCACGTTTCTTCCCGCCTCAGCACTTTTTTTCGATTCCATGAACCTGGAGAACCACTTTTGTCCGATCATAAGAAATGTTAGACAAACTGTACCTACCCGTCTGTACGGCCTGTATGCAGGATTCTGCACTTAGTATACCATGGCTACTCGCTGCTTCGGCAGCACTCTGCGAATGCAATTTTGGAAGCTTGCCGACAGAATACCTACACTAAGTACACGGAGTATCCGAGTTACTTGGACCTACGGTACCACGGCTGGCTTTTTCAACTTATCAGGTAACGACAGTGTGACGAAGACAAAGGCCCCAATTGGCGGACTCCGTCAAGGCTGGGTGTCAGAATAAGCATTGCAAATATCTGCCTCGCGATCTGGCTTAAATTCGGTACCGTAATCCCGGTTTGCATCGGACGACCTACGGTTACTCACGGACGTACCTTCTGGAAACCCACTACGGCGAAAGGCCCTTACAACCTGTCAGACAACCAGAGACAGAAGAAGTGTGCTTCTTCGCAAGCATCTGGACTATAATTTCGATAGTATTCTTTGCATTTTCAGCATTAAAACTTCCGCATGATTATTTCTTCCTTTTTTCTCTTTTTTTCTTTTTCTGGGAAATCTCGTACTCGACCAAGAGTCGAGCACGTAGAAACTAGAATATTTAAGTAGATGATAGCACAGTAGGACTCTTCAATCTGAGTGGTGTATTGAGTGGAAGGATTGAGTTTCCGTAACCTTTGGTTATGGAACAGCGGAGGGGAAGGTGTTATACGCCATGATATTAAAGCTCAAGGCATCTCCTTCTAAATTATGGGTCCATTGTGTTTAATCTTTTCTCGTGCTCCCATACGAATCTTCTTATCCTAGGAACTACTTCTGATTCATACTTCTCAATAGGTTCCTTGACGGCAAGATCATCAATGTATAACTCGGTAATCTGAGGACTGATCGGTTGCATTACTCTGATCATTCTGCATTGCACCATGGCCACATCGTTGGTCCACCCTTGGGGTGCAACATTCGTATGGACCAATCCTCTAGGCGTGTGCATTGCTGTTATAGGACGATCTGCAGGATAGACCGGAAATTGATCATACCCAGAGTAAAGATCAATTAGGGACACAATCGATCTCCTTGCGCAGGATTCTGACACTTGATCAGCGTAAGGCAGTCCCCCAGCATCTCTTACTGTCACCACATTCAACAGTTGGAGGTCTTGTACCCATTCGAGCACCCCGTTCGGTTTTACAAAGCAAAACCAAGGAGAAGCATTTGGTCTGCTAAAATACCCAGCAGTATTCGTGCGGATCTTCCCATCTAGGTATTCTACCACCTTTCGGCGATCCTCAGGATTGGGGTACTTAGCTCCTCTAATGTTCCATGGTTCATGAGGCACCGTATGAATGCGGATTATTTCGATTTTGTCAACGTCCAATCGTCCGCGTTGGTCATCATTCAAGGCATATGCTCCATGCTTCTCAAGTATCATGTCTTTTACCAGAGCCTCTTCTTGCGTTGTCAGGAAACCGAGTTCGCCTATTATCAAATCCTTCTCAGTTTCCTCGTTGATGCGACAAAGACCGTTTTCAGTACACACTCTCATTTCTCGTATCAACTCTCTCTCCTTCTCGTAATACACTTCTTCCTGACTTACCAGCACTGGTACCGGATGACTTTTCTTGTCTACCGTTTTGTACCTCCTTGTGGAGCCCTGCTTGAGCCCACCCCTAAAAAATGTTGGCCGGCTGCTTGTGCATTTGGCATATGTGGCCCTATCATATGAGGAGGAGGAGGTCGGTAAACAAGATCGACTCTCCCTCCCTCCGGATCGTCTTGGATTCTTTCCGCAAGCGCTCTGACGGCTTCAGGATCCGCCATCCTGTAGGCTGATACCAATTCGACTGCGTCACTAATATTCGTTTGGCTCAATACGAGCCCACTCGCCTCTTCATTATCTGATTTTTCTTCTTCCTCTCATTCTAGTTCTTTTCGCCTATTCTCTGACTCCTCAAACGTGTAGGATCCCGCGTTGAGTCGGTTTTTCGAGCTGTAGGGCCCGGTGTTTCTACAAGTAATTACCTTAAAATTTCCATAGGCGGGATCACACAAGATAACAAACATGGTGT